AACACAGGTTGACATGACAATTAAAGGTTAAAGCGGAGTTCCACTCACACTGTAAAAAAAAATGAAAGTTCAGCAGCTACAAAAAACTGTAGCTGCTGACGTTTATATAAACAGCCACTTACCCTGTCCCTCGGTCCCGCGGATTGTCCTCCCCACACCCGCACCCATTTCACTAGGCCGTCCTGTGTTCCAGGCACTGGCATCTTCAGTGTGGGCACCCGGCTGTGACAGCTTGCGGCTTCCCAGCCGGGGTGCCCACTGCGCATGCTCGAGTTAGCGCTGCTCTTGACCTGAATGTCCCCGTAGTCTTCTGGGACCTGTTACGTGTCCCCAGAAGACTACGGGGAGGGTAGGAGGACAGCTTCCGCTTCCGATAGCTTAGGCAATCGCAGTGGGACTGGGTACCTGTCAAATTTGGGTAACCCCCTCCCCAAAGGTGCCAATCCCTTAATGGGAAGCAGGAGAACAGTCTTTAAAGTGGAACTTCCCCTTTTGGGTGGAGCTTCGCTTTAACTTCCTTTCCACATCTGTGGCTTTTTAAATTGTTATTAGTGATCATATTTCACCATTTATTATCACATAGTTGTTTGGCTCCTTTTTAAATTAAATCCTAATGATAACAGAAAATCCCCCCAAATGGCCCTCAACAAAAGTTTTCCCTCCCCTGGAATGTTCGGCCTTGGTACAGACACACACGGGGTAACATGGCACTTTTAAAGATTCATTTCCCTCATCTGTGTCTTTTATATTGCAATCCGTGTCTAGTTGTATAAATAGTCAGTGTGTTTGTTAGCTCTCACATGGATGCACGGAGCAGGCTAGATACTGAGCCATGAAAGCAGAAGAGAACTGTCAACACACCTGCGTAACAAGGTAATGGAACTTTAGAAAGATGGAAAAGGATATAAAGATATTCAAAGCCTTGCATATTGCAGTCATTACTGTTCAGTCGCTTATTAAGAAAGTGGAAAATTTGGAGATCTCTTAAAACCAAGCCAAGTACATGTAGACCAAGAAAGATTGCAGCCATAACTGGCAGAATATTTTGGGATACAAAGAAAAACTCACAGGTAATGTCAGGAGAAATACAGGCTGCTCTGAAAAAAGACGGTGTGGTTGCTTCAAGGAGCACAATACGGCGATTCTTGAACAAAAATGAGCTGTTTGGTCAAGGTGACAGAAGCCTTTACTGCGCCAATGCCACAAAAAAGCCCGGTTACAATATACCCAGCACCACCGTGATACGCCTCACCGGGCTAATCAGCCCGCTGGATTGCTTTTACAAGCAGCTATTCTCCTGGCTTACAGGCAGATCCGAGTGTTCCGCCAGCGGTTCTTCTGGCTGACTATATACAGTGGGGATCGAAAGTTTGGGCACCTCAGCTACAATTTGTATTAATGTGCATAAAGAAGCCAAGGAAAGATGGAAAAATCTCCAAAAGGCATCAAATTACAGATTAGACATTCTTATAATATGTCAACAAAAGTTAGATTTTATTTCCATCATTTATACTTTTAAAAATAACCGAAAACAAAAAAATGGCGTCTGCAAAAGCTTGGGCACCCTGCAGAGTTAATATCTTGTACTGCCCCCTTTGGCAAGTATCACAGCTTGTAAACGCTTTTTTGTAGCCAGCCAAGAGTCTTTCAATTCTTGTTTGAGGTATCTTTGCCCATTCTTCCTTACAAAAGTCTTCCAGTTCTTTGAGATTTCTGGGCTGTCTGTCACGCACGGCTCTTTTAAGGTCTATCCATAGATTTTCAATTATGTTGAGGTCAGGAGATTTGTGAAGGCCATGGCAAAACCTCCAGTTTACGCCTCTTGATGTAATCCCCTGTGGATTTCGAGGTGTGTTTAGTATCATCCATTTGTAGAAGCCATCCTCTCTTTAACTTCAGCTTTTTCACAGATGGCATCAAGTTACCATCCAAAATTTGCTGAAATTTTATTGAATCCATTTTTCCTTCTACTCGTGAGATGTTCCCTGTGCCACTGGCTGCAACACAACCCCAAAGCATGATTGATCCAACCCCATGCTTAACAGTTGGACAGAGGTTCTTTTCATTAAATTCGGTGCCCCTTCTCTCTTCAAACGTACCTTTGCTCATTCCGGCCAAAAAGTTCAATTTTAACCTCATCGGTCCACAGAACTTGTTTCCAAAATGCATCAGGCTTGTCTATATGTTCATTTGCAAAGTTCAAACGATGATTTTTGTGGTGAGGACGTAGAAGAGGTTTTCTTCTGATGACTCTTCCATGAAGACCATATTTGTACAAGTATCTCTTTATAGTGGAATAGTGTACCACAACTCCAGTGTCTGCCAGATCTTTCTGTAGGGATTGTGCAGTCAAACGTGGGTTTTGAATAGTTTTTCTCACAATCCTGCGAGCTGTTCTGTCTGATATTTTTCTTGGTCTTCCAGATCTTGCTTTAACTTCCACTGTTCCTGATGACTGCCATTTCTTACATTCCGAACAGAGGATATTGACATCTGAAAACGCTTTGCTATCTTCTTATAGCCTTCTCCAGCTTTGTGAGCGTCAACTATTTTCAGTTTCAGTTTTCTAGACAAATGCTTAGAAGAACCCATGGTGCTGATTGTTGGGGCAAGGTCAGATGAGTCTGGGCATTTAAAACCTTTGAGATTGACATCACCTGGTCTTCCCAGACGATGATTGAGACCAATCCATGACACTGGCAGGTCTCAGCTTGGCAAAGGGGGCAGTGCATGCTTTAAATTCTGCAGGGTGCCCAAACTTTTGCAGACGCCATTTTTTTGTTTTCTATTATTTTGAAAGTGTAAATGATGGAAATAAAATCTAACTTTTGTTGACATATTATAAGAATGTCTAATCTGTAATTTGATGCCTTTTGGAGATTTTTTCCATCTTTCCTTGGCTTCTTTATGCACATTAATACAAATTTTTAGCTGGGGTGCCCAAACTTTCGATCCCCACTGTAGCTGATTGGGGACCAAAACGGCTCTGATCATCTCTATGGTCTAAGAAACTGTAATAAATGAGCATTTCATCACTTCCAGTATCACCTGGTGTAAACAAACCCTTCATGGTTTGAAAAAAGCATCAGATCATAACTATCTTAGTGTGATCTAAAGCTTTGAAAGACAGAGGAGAGATCTGGGGTCTAATAGACCCCAGATTTCTTAGCAAAGAGGACCTGTCACCTCCTATGGCTGTCACAGGGGATATTTATATTCCTTGTGATAACAATAAAAGAAAAATAAAATGAAAGGGACAGTGGAAAAGTGGAAAAAATAAATTATGTACCTGTCGCCCGTGCTCATGCCCAAAATACATACGTAAACAGCGATCACACCACACTTGTGAGGTATCGCCACGAACATCAGATCGAGGGCAGTAATTCTAGAACAAGACCTCCTGTGTACATTTAAAGTGGTAATCCATAAAGACTTTTAAAGCGTCGCCTTGGGATAATGATAAAATTGACATATTTTTTAGTTGTTGCACGGGGCGTTCGCAATTTTAAAGCATGACTTGTTTGGTGTCTATTTACCTGGCATAACGTCATCCTTTATATTTTATGAAACAATTGGGTATTATTGGGTTTTTTGTGCATTAAAATGCACAAAAGTGTATTTTTTTTCCCCCAAAAAATTGCTTTGAAAAACAGCTGCGCAGATACCATGTGACATAAAAAATTGCAACACCCATCATTTTATTCTTTAGGGCCTCTGCTTTAAAAAAATATATATATAATGTTTGGAGGTTCTAAGTCATTTTCTATTAAAAAAAAAAAAATATACGTGTAAACAAAAAGTGTCAGAAAAGGCCTGGTCTTTTGATTATTGGGTTAATGCATCTTAGTTTGTAAGTAACTTGTAAAAATAGAAGGTTTAACCACTTCTCGTCCGGCCCATATATATAAACGGTCAGACGGGAGCAGTGCAGGAGCGTGTTGCCGTTCATAAATGGCGGCCGCCATTTTAGTCTGGGAGCGCGATCCAGTGCCCGCTGTGTCCTCCGGAACACCAATCACTGTACGGTACCTCTGTGTGAGGTCTCGATCATGTGATCACTGATTGGCCAATCAGTGATCACATGAATAGTAGTAAGCAAGATGTCACTTCAGACATCATTACTTACTACGTGTGAAACCTGTGATTGATCACAGAGGTCACATGGTACAGGGCTATTCACAACAGCCTTGTACCATGTGACAAGCTGTGACCAATCACAGCTCTCACAGTAGTTCTCAATGGCTGCAAGAATGCAGCCAGAGAGGAGAAATGATTGCTTTTACAGCCTTTATGGGTGTAAAAGCAATCAGTGTAAAAAAAAAAAATATCTTCACCTCCCACATGTAGTACAGTGTCGCTATGGTGACACTGTACTGCTAGAGTGGCAGTATGTTAAAAAAAAAAATCCCATACATAATAAAAAAAAAAAAATAAAAATGTGAAAAATTATAGTTTTTGGTTATAAACTAATTTGGGTTTTTTTTTTTACTAAAAAGATAGCTGAATACATTTTGACCAAGATTTATGAAGAAAGATAATTTTTTTGCAAACTTTTATAAGAAAAACACTTTTTTTCAAAAGTTTTGGACTTTTTCATTTATATAGTACAAAAAAAAAAATCCCAGTGGTGAATAAATACCACCAAAATAAAGTTTTATCTGTCTCAAAAAAATGCTAAAAAATTCATATGGGTACAGTGTTGCATGACTGCGCAATTGTCATTCAAAAGTGTGATAGTGCTGAAAGCTGAAAATTGACCTGGGCCGGAAGGGGGTGAAAGTGTCCGGACTGGAAGGGGGGGAAAGCGTCCGGACTGGAAGGGGGGGAAAGCGTCCGGACTGGAAGGGGGGGGGAAAGCGTCCGGACTGGAAGGGGGGGGAAAGCGTCCGGACTGGAAGGGGGGAAAGCGTCCGGACTGGAAGGGGGGGGAAAGCGTCCGGACTGGAAGGGGGGGAAAGTGTCCGGACTGGAAGTGGTTAAAAATGTTGTTGCTTTTCTAGGCCACTCCTGATTACGGCATGTACTCCCGTGAAGAAGAGCTTCTGCGAGAGAGAAAACGTATCGGGACGGTGGGCATCTCAGCTTTTGATTACCATGCAAAGAGTGGAACCTTCTTGTTCCAAGCCGGCAGTGCCATCTACACTGTCCGAGATGGGGGCACCCGTGGGTTCACGGTAAGGTTACTAGAAATGTATATCTATCTATGTTTATGACCTGCTAGACCTGTTTATGATTTTGAAGGTGTTTTTAACCACTTACTGCCCTAGGCAAAGTAACGTACCTGTATGTCGCTGCTGGCTTTGGACGCGTGCATGTGTGCCCCCTGGCTGGCACGCGCTGTGATTGTACGACCAATGATTCACGGCTGGAACCTGCTGATCAGCTGTGTCCAATCACAGCCCAGAACTCTGTGTTGACAATTAACACAGAGCTCTTTACATAGAGAATGGTTTCTCTGTTTGTCATCCCTAACTTCAAAATCTGTTAGTAAAAGTAGCACACTTAACCCCCCTGGCCGTATTCCTGAGTGTAGCTCGGGTAAAGTTTCAGCACCACAAGCGGTAACCCCGAGCGACACTCAGGAATACACTGCAGCGCTGCTCCGGGATCTCTTCTTCACTTACCTTGTCCTTTGCTCCCGCAATGTCCCCCCTGCAGTGTCCCGGCCATGTCCTCCGGCCGATGCCGCCATCTGTCTTCCAGGTTCTGTTCCCTGTGACGTCGGGACATACGGGGGACGGAACTGGCGGGAAATTTAAAAATGTCAAAATAGTGACATTCACTAAGTACACTAAAATCACATAGTATAACATTACTGTATCAGAGAAACGTCCATGGCGTCCAAAAAGTGTCCCTTTAGGTCAAAAGCGGTTTTAGACCGGCTAGAGAACAGCGATAGTAAATCAGAACCACTTGCAGAATTGAGTGATAATGATTTGTGGGGGAAATTCCTCATCAGACACTGAAAACGATTCTGCAACTTTGCTCAGCGATGTGCGAACTTGGCGCTATATTTCAAATTTCAGTGTTTTTGTTTTGATTATATTATTGAATTAAATTTATATATTATTATTTTTTATGATTTATTAAATTATAATTTATGATTTCGTGTTTCAAATTTTAACATTCCCGGGATGTTTACTAGACTCTTGTTCGGACAGATTTCAGTGAGTTATACCTAAAAATTACAGGCCTACAATAAAAAAAACTACATATTTTCATGCAAAAAAATGTACCGCTTTGAACATAGAAATATGGACATAATCAGACCGCTAGGGAGGTTACAGCTGATATCTGAACTAAACCTATACTGTGTGAATACAAGAGACTTGTGTATTCTTTTGTGAATCTTACTTTATTCTCGTTTAGAATCACTTTTTGTATTTTGTACCTGCAGAAACAGCCTCTTCAGCCTCAGTTACTGGAAAGCAGTTGTCCCAATATTCGCATGGATCCCACCATCTGTCCTGCAGACCCCAGCTGGATAGCTTTTGTCCACAGTAATGACTTGTGGGTCGCCAATATAGAGAGCGGAGAGGAGCGCAGGTTGACCTTCGTACACAAAGGCTAGTCTCTGAGTTCATGCCAGAATGATGTCATATTGATGTTTATAGTGTTTCATGAGTTTTCAGTTAAACTGAGAATGCAAAGATCATGGTATTTCCACTTCCGGACAGGTGATGTACCCGTAAGTCGGTGGTTGTACTGGGATAATGCCTACAGCTGCAGGCATCACCCCGGTACCTGTTTTTTAAAGCTGACAGTCAGCTTTTTTGTAATAGCAATGCTAGTTAGCTACTCGGTTGCCATAAGAAGCAGCAGTGGAAGATGTTCCCTCCCCTCCCGCCACTTTCCGCATCTTGCTCGGGTCTCTCCCGTCTCCCACCAGGATCGGCTTTGAACGGCTTTCCGCTGTGGTAACCCGAAATTGATGACCTGACATCCTGACGTCATTTCTGGTTTACACGGGCGTCAACAGTTCCATTTTTAAAAATAATCAAAAGCATTGGAAAAAACTGGTGTTTGGAATGCTTTTAAGGGCAGAGGAGGGATTTGGGGTCTCCAGAAAGAGTACCTGTCACATGCCTATTGCTGTCACAAGGGTGTTTTCATAACCTGTGACCGCAATAAAAGTGATTAAAAAAAATTAAAGCAACAGTGTAAAAATAAAAAAAAATGAATGAATTAATTTAAAAAAAACAAAATTCCTTGTCCCCCTGTGCTCGTGCATAGAGGCGATTACACGCATCGGTCCCCCATGCATGCATGCAAACGGAAATCGTCCCACACATTGAGGTATCACTGCGAACTTCGGATCCGCAGTAATTCTAGTACTGACCTGTGTAAATCTTAAGTGGTAAACTGTGAAGGCTTTTAAAGCGTCACTTATGGATAGTAAAATTTACGTTGTGTTATTGCGCTTTTAAACCGCAACATTCTGGTATCTATTTTTACCGTATTTTTCACTCCATAAGACGCACCTAGGTTTTAGAGGCAGAAAAACAGGAAAAAAAAAATTCTGAACTAATGGACCGCAGACATAGTTACATTTTGAGATGACCAGAGACTGCGGACAGCACAGGATGACCAGAGACTGCGGACACAGTACAGGGGATGACCAGAGACTGCGGACATAGTACAGGAGATGACCAGAGACTGCGGACAGCAATGACCAGAGACTGCGGACAGCACAGGATGACCAGAGACTGCGGACAGCACAGGGATGACCAGCGACTGCGGACAGCGGTTTTAGGGATGACCAGAGATCAGAACCACTGCGGACAGTCAGACAGAAAATGATTTTGCGACTTTGCTGCTGCGCTGACCTTTGGGGAGGGGGGGGGGGAGCGGGTTTGATGAATTTGACAGTTTACCCGCTCCCATTCCGTGGAGTTGTTATTTCATCTTATGTTCCTCTATCCAGCCGCGCGCTGTATCCCGGCTTCTGTAATGGCGCTCGGCATGACATTTTAGTGCGCATGAGCGAGAAGCGCTGCGCTTACTGTGATTGTTCCGGCAGCCTTCTGGGATCTGTCATGTTCCCAGGTACCGCCTTACCTTCACAAAAAGCACGCTTCATTGCGCATGCAAAAAAACTTGGCACCTGGCTGTCATGCCCAACTACAGAAGCCGGGAAGACAGCGCGCCGCTGGATAGAGGAAAGGTAAGAACAAAGAACAACTTGTCCCCACGGCTCGTGCAAGAGCGGGTACCTGTCAAATTCAGGTATCGGTCCCCCCCCCCAAAGGTCAGCAGTCACTCCATAAGCAATCCCGCCAGAGCTGCGGAGCCCAGTATCTGACACGGCGGCAGTGGAAATACCGGACCGGTTCTAGACCTGCACTGAATTTTAAGTGGTTTTTTGAAGGGGAAAAAGTGTCGTCTTATGGAGCGTAAAATACGGTACGTCGGTTATTGCGCATCTTTAAACTATTGGTATTTTTTTGGAAAAAAAAATTGTGTTATCTATTTTTTTTTCTTTGCATCAAGATTCAAAATGTATTTTTCCCCAAAAAATTGTGCTTAAAAAACCACCCGCGCAATTACCGTGTGACATGAAAAAAAAAGCAAAACCCACCAATTTATTTTCTAGGACCTCTGCTTTAAAAGATAATTTTCTGGCAAGAAATACTGATTGTTATATGTAAACAAAAAGTGCCGGAAATGGCCTGGTCTGGAAGTGGATAGTGAACATACGAACAGTTTAATCTGCCCTTTTTCTTACTCTGCTTTCATACTGATTAATTTGGTTCTACACAGATATGGTTGGAGTGGAGGAAGACTCGCGGTCTGCAGGCGTAGCATCCTTTGTGCTACAGGAGGAATTTGATCGCTATACTGGATATTGGTGGTGTCCTCGCAATGAATCAAGTAAGAACCATTCTGTTGATCAATAAGATGAGTACAAAATGTAAGTGCACACACATTTGCTGTCATTACCACTTGCCACATGGAGGCCATCATATGTCGTCCTCGGGTTTAATTGGTTATATTGGGATGATGCCTGCACCTGCAGGCACCTATCCAGTATCAGCTGGCGATTCTCTGTTGTGTTGAAGTGATTCATGTGGCTATAGAAGCACCTCCGCTGTCGCCTTTACCGGGCTCTCCGGTCCCATCAGGGAACCCCGAAAGGATGTGACCAGCGGCATCGACTTCCAGGCACACAGGGAGAGGAGCTGATGCTGTTCCTCTTTTTATGTGACACCAGAAACTGGAAGTGACAAGGGATTTCATCACTTCTGATTCCTGTTTCATGTAAGCAAGCCATTACCAGCTTGTGAAAGCATCTGATCAAACCGAAAACCAAGAAAACATCTGGCAGTCGGCCTTCTACTTCTACATCAACTTCACTGTCTATTTGAGATCCCCAAGGTGGTTTGAATATATTCATCATAGCTCAAGACCCCTATATTTTTCTCATGCACTATAAGGTGCACCTGGATCAATGTTGGATCCTTGATTTTTTTTATACCCTACCTTTTCTATTCAAATTCCCCGGTTGGGGAATTTCTTCTCTGGTTTTGGTCCCTTTCTAATCTTCACAGCACAGTGCTAGCAGAACAACAGTCATCACTGACAATTCCGTCATCCCATGACGCCAAAATTTCAGCTGTTGTACACTTTATTGGGAAGCTCTACTCTAACTACATCTTGTCCCTCTGAATACTCGCAGTGGCGTTTAAGATAGCTTCTATAAAACACACACGGCCTAAACCATCCAGCTAAGTGTTCCTCCTTATGGCGAGAAGCGACCTCCTCTGTGTACAAGGACACACTTTCAAGAGTCCTCTCCTAGATGCTTCCACAAACAGTGCTCCACAATTTTCATGGCTCTGGTTAAGAAGAGTGATGTGCTCATAGCTATCTAAAACTCTCTGTCCTTTACTCTAAAAAGTTCTTGCATAGATCAAGATGGTAGATACATTATTTTAGTCTGAGAGAAGGAGAAGAAGCGCCTCTAAGTGCAGTATAACACTTTATTCAGGATCAAAGGTAGGAACACTCACATTATTGAGGTAAATAAATAGCATAAAAACTGTGGCATGGTGTAAACATCGGACAGGTGGGTATGTAGAGTAAAGAGCTGTCATCGGTATGTAGTAGTCAGCGTGCCGCTGGAGCAGCGTGGTGGCTGGAGGGGAACAGCTGTGAGGCCGGCGTGCATGTCCTCACTCAAAGCCGGGTGGAACGCAGCGATGACGTGGCCGTGATGACGTCAGATACTCAAGGTGCACTGCGACGCGTTTCGGAGCATGCGCTGGCCAGGAAAGGCGGAAGTGCGCTCCTTTTTCAAGCAGCTGCCGGCTGGCTACACAGCTGTCCCCCTCCAGCCACCACGCTGCTCCACCGGCACGCTGACTACTCCATACCGGTGACAGCTCTTTATTCTTCATACCCACCTGTCCGATGTTTACACCATACCATGGTTTTTACTTAGAGGCGCTTCTTCTCCTTCTCTCATCCTACAGCGTCTGCTACAGTACTTTTGGGAGCATTGCCCTTAGTGCCATACGGGCCTCCCATATCAATCTTCCTTAACATCAACAGCATCACCATTACCTTACACCAGGATAGCCCAGGACTTTGAGCAGTTTTGCGCTGATCACCTCCCTTCATTTCTTCTAACATTATTTTAGTCTGCCTTATCAATTTCAAAACATATGCCTTGGTGAACATCTATGCCCCGAACTCTCATCCAATCCGATTCCTTAACATATTCACAAGAAAATCTCTGCAGTTAAAGAAGGCTCAGTGATTCTTTGTAGGGACTTCAGTTGTGTTATGGACTCACATACAGACTCTATATCATTTGCAAAAAAAAGTACCGATTCCTTGTAACGTTTTTTTCACTCAGTAGACCTATTTGATGTCTGGAGATGCCAGCATGCGAGTGAGAAATTTAACTTTCTTTTCTACACGTCATTTGACATACTCAAGAATTGATATATGTTTTTGTAGATATGCTTAACATAAATTCTCATCCTCCTCGATTCGTGACATAACATGGTCTGAGTGTAGGATGTAGAACACCAGCGCTACTCAAATAGAAATAAAATAGAAATCAGGAAGCTGCTATCACCTGAATATGTTGCAAACATAAAGAAAATATGGTGTTTGCGCTTCCATGCACAGTACCTAAATACACTCAAATGCCATGATTAATGCATGAATATTAAATCTCAAATAAATACTAATATATGAGATATACAAATCAAAAAAAAAAAAAAAGACAATATCATGTGATAATATGCAAAAATATATACATATATAAAGGAGAAATAAACATCAAAACACTAAAGAACATTGTGAGACAATGTACATGCGTCCCTTTATAAAGGGAAAAAAGTGACATAAATCACAAATAAAAAGAGTGATAAATGGAATAAATTATGCCTGCAAAATATATATAGAATTTATTTGAGATTTAATATTCATGCATTAATCATAGCCATTTGAGTGCATTTAGGTACTGTGTATGAAAAGTGCAACACCATTTTTTCTTTATGTTTGTAACATGGTCTGACCACGCTCCTATTATCCTAGATATCAAGGAGAAAGAGTGCACTTCTCCGAGGTACTTATGGAGATGTGACTAGGTTGCTACACTCGCCCACAATTTCAAACTGATCTAATCTAGACGCCTACAGGAATTCTTTGCCAATAACACTGGATCAGTAGAAAACCCATTTACATTATGGAATGCCGATAAGGCATGTATGAGAGGGGTATGTATTCAAATGAGTGCCAGGGACAAGCGCCAAAGAAAACAATGCCTCAATGACCTTTTGCAACGTTTTCACGATTTAGACACACTAAATAAGGAATCCCTCAATTACAAATTCTCCACAGGGCTTGCATGACTTCGCTTGGACTTACATAAGCTCTTACTTGACTCCCATGACAGTCATGCCAGAACTCTGAAACTTAATTACTATGCTACAGGGTAATAGAGCAGGTAAACTCCTGGCGAACAGAATTGCAACCCAAAGGTCTAAAGCGAAAGTTCGGTTTTTTGTATCATCAAGCGGATAATCATAAAATAATCCACAAGAGATAGCTGATTCTTTCACCGATTACTGTAGCTCCCTCTATAATTTAAAAGATTACCCCACCACCTTCCACCCAACCTTCAGACATGGCCATAAAAGGTTTCCTTAGTAAACTCAATTTACCTTCTCTAACCCCCATACAACTCCAAGAACTAAACTCAGAGTTCACTTCAATGGAAATCTTAAATACTATAAATTCCTTATCCAATGGTAAATCACCGGGACTGGATGGCTTTATATCTGAGTATTTCAAAACCTTTCAAGACCTCTTTGAAGCATCATCTAAAACATCTCTTTGATGCAGCAGCCTCCTCATTCTCATTCCTTGAGGAAATGCTCAATGCGCATATAGTTATCCCGAAACGCGGTAAAGACCCAACGACTCCTCCGATTTTTTCGCTCTATATCACTGCTAAATGTAGATGTAAAAATGTATGCCAAATTAATAGCTTGACGCCTTACAAAGCTGCTTCCATTATTGGTCAAGACTGACCAGTCGGATTTCACGCCTGCTAGACATTCTTCCAATGCTATGAGACAAATGATAAATGCCATCTAAACAAATAGGTGAGCATAAAGTTCATAAAATCTTCATAAATGCAAAAAAAAACTCTGTAGAAAAACTTGCAGTGAGAAATCTTCTCTATATCAAAATAGGTGACTGGAACCGTATAGATAAAATGCGCACTCACCGACTGCATTAAATATGCGCATGTATATGACGCATCTATCAGGTAATCAGCCAGACACACGGACCATCCCTCTCAGGTGGATCATCAGCCTTGGGTGTACTGATATGTAGCAAGGTCCAGAGAACACTCAAAGCCAGTAAGTGAAGGTGGATGAGCTCCCTCTTCTGGATACAAGATGCACTAGGAACCAGCTGCTATAGATCTGAAACCCTCGGAGAGAGGGTTAAAAACAGAGAGGGAGTGCCAATAGTGTAGTAGGTTCAAACTGATTTATTAGGTCACAGATAGAGTAATACCCAGGGGTACATGTATACATATACTGCCAGTATTAGAGCAATAAAAGAACATGTACTGACCCGGCACAGTAAGAAGCCGCCGGACCTCCTCGTGGTCACGGCGGTGCAGAAAGTCACACGTGCTGTTGGCTCCTCCTGAGGCCTTTCGTGCTACGACACATCATCAGACTCAAACTTTTTTTTTTTTTTGTTAATTTAGCAAAAAAATAACCCCAGCGGTGATTAAATACCACCAAAAGAAAGCTCTAGTTGTGTGAAGAAAATTATAACATTTTAGTTTGGGTACAATGTTGTATGACCGCGCAATTGTAATTCAAAGTGTGAGAGCGCTGAAACCTGAAAAATGGCCTGGGCAGGAAGGTGTAAAATTGCCCGGTATGGAAGGGGTTTAAACACTGAAGCGCTGGCAGACCAGGCTGTATTGCTTTTGAGGACTATTTAACTGCTATCCTTTTAGGGCCAAATCAGAGAGTTGTTTCACTTGACCTCAGTCAATCCCGGGATAAATCTTGAATCCACACTAGTTCCTGGAGTAATCTTTCCCATTTCTTACTCATAGATGCCTGGAAACCGTGGAAACTGGTTACTCTCCCACCCACCATACACAGCACCCTTGTAGCCTGGAGAAAGCTACTACCCTGTTTCCCTGGAAATAAGACCTCCCCCAAAAATAAGACCTAGTACTGTTTTTGGGAATTGCTGAAGTATAAGACCTACCCTGAAAATAAGATCTAGTTGTGATCAGCTGTGCAATGTGTTTAGGGATGGAGCGGGTGGGGTTGGGGCATCTCATCCTGCAGTGTAATGCATGGAAGCCAATGCCCCAGGGGTGATCATTGGCCAGTGAGTGAGTGCACTTAGTGCACTGTGTCGGAAGATAGGACCTGAAGCTCACTTCTGCATCCCCTATCTGTAACTCACCCCTGCACCCTGTTTGAAACTCACCTGTCAATTCACCTCTGCAACACCTGACTGCACCTCACAACTGTCATCTGTCATCAGCCGGCCCTCTCTATAGTAACCCTCATCCACAACTGCCTGCAGCTCACCTCTGCACCCTGTATATTCAAAAAATAAGACCTACCCCGAAAATAAGACCTAGTGTGTTTTTGTTTTTTTTTTTGAGCCAAAAAAAAATATAAGACAGTGTCTTATTTTCGGGGAAACACGGTAGCTAGTTCCCAGATAAAAGCCCCTATCTCCTCTCCTACCCTCTCCATTAAGACTCATGGATCTCATTTTTTCCCTTTTTTAGCACACAACTGTGGATAGATTAAGGCCTCCAGAATATTTCCAATTTATAGATCTTTAATACACTTAGAATGTGGGAAGCATTGAAGATTGAATTTGGGATTTCAGAGAGAGAAAGATACCAATATCAACAAATAACCCATGCCTTGCATACCCTACCTTCTAAAATCAAGTGGGTCTCAGATATGGCTTGGTCAGCCTTATCGACCACTAGACACCCTAATAAGTCAACATCCTTCTTTTACAACCTCCTACAGGAAAAATTTGATCTGGTCTATCAATGCAATTCTCAGAGGCACACTGGAAAACTGCTATTAGATCCTTATACAAAACATCTAGTTTTTATAGATCACTGGGAAATGTCTCACCACGCGCTGGTACTATATTCCTTACAGGCTTTCCAAATTTGCCTTGCCTTACTAAACCTGGGGATATCTGACATACCCCACCATCTCCACCTAATCATCTCCCATATTTTATTGGCAGCTACAGTTATAACTAGAAGTTGGAAAAAGTCACAAGCACCTAATCCTTCCGAATCTATAAAGATTTTAAAAACAAATTTCGTATATGAACGTTTATTGGCTGTAAGAAATAATAAGGATTCTTCAATCAGTGGAAACCCTAGATAAGCTGGAATGACAAACACCATGATGAATAATCACTATTTCTTAGTCTACTTTCTACTCCTGTGGTTGACTGACTGTGCTATAACATTATGTATAATCAATATCTCTATCTTTACTTTTATTATATTATGCGCCTCGCTCTTATAAGATCTGACTACATATGTTAAATGGACCATACCATTGTTAACTTAACTCATTATCTGTTCTAATGTTAGACCCTCTTTTTTGTAATGTACTAAAATCTAATAAAAATGTATTGAAGAAAAAAAAAATGAGGCATGATGTATGAAAAAGTACCCTTTGATGTGTCAAAAAAAAGCAGGGCTGATAACCATATACATAAGAAAAGGGAAAAGAAAGAAGAGAGGGGACAGGAAAGTAGAGCAGAAGGAGACCGAGGGTTTCCAAGACATGTAATCATCTCACAGTCTTTGGGAGGGAGGCAAGGCTATGTTCATAAAAGTTGCCCGTGGTTCTGTATTTCTACTTTAAAGCGTAATATATAGATTATTTCATATACCTTAGTTTGTCACCGTTTCACAGGTGTGCGCAGTATGCCATGCCAGCACCTTGATCACCTCCATACACCATACCAGCGACCTGATCACCTCCATACACCATACCAGCGACCTGATCACCGCCATACACCATACTTGCGTCCTGATCACCGCCACCATACCAGCGCCCTGATCACCGCCATACACCATACCAGCATCCTGATCACCGCCATACCCCATACCAGCATCCTAAACACCGCCATACACCCTACCAGCTTCTTGATCACCGCCATACCCCATACCAGCATCCTAAACATCGCCATACACCCTACCAGCTTCTTGATCACCGCCATACCCCATACCAGCATCCTGATCACCGGCATGCCCGTACCAGCATCTTGATCACCGCCATAACCCATACCAGCATCCTGATCACCACCATACCCCGTACCAGCATCCTGATCACCGCCATACACCCTACCAGCATCTTGATCACCACCATACCCCATACCAACATCCTGATCACCGCCATACCCCATACCAGCGTCCTAAACACCGCCATACACCCTACTAGCTTCTTGATCACCGCCATACCCCATACCAGCATCCTGATCACCGGCATGCCCGTACCAGCATCTTGATCACCGCCATAACCCATACCAGCTACCTGATCACCACCATACCCCATACCAGCATCCTGATCACCACCATACCAGCATCCTGATCACCACCATACCCCGTACCAGCATCCTGATCACCACCATACCCCGTACCAGCATCCTGATCACCGCCATACCTCATACCAGCATCCTGATCACCACCATACCACATATCAGCGTCCTGATCACCGCCATACCCCAGACCAGTGTCCTGATCACTGCCATACCCCACCCCATACCAGCGTCCTGATCACTGCCATACCCCATATCATCACCCTGATCACCGCCATACCCCAGACCTGTGTTCTGATCACCGCCATACCCCATAACAGCGTCCTGGCTACTGCCATAACAGCTTCTTGATCTCCACCATACCTCATGCTAATGTCCTGATCACCGCCATACCAGCGTCCTGATACCTGCCATATGCCATACTAGCGTTCGGCATTTTAGGATCTCAACTGATCAATTTTCAAATATATATCCCATAGTTTGTAGATTCTATAGCTTTCACAAAAACTAAATAATACAAACTGTTTGGGATTATTTTTTACCCCAAAAATGTAGCAGAATACATTTTGGCCTAAATTTCTGAAGAAAAATTATCTGCCAAATTTTATAACAAAAAAAATTTTTTTTTTTTTAAATTTCGGTAATTTTTCATTTATATAGCAATAAAATTTAAAACCCAGTGGTGATCAAATACCACCTAAAGAAAGCTTTATTTGTCTCAAAAAAAGGATATAAATTTCATATGGGTACAGTGTTGCATGACTGAGTAATTGCAACTCAAAGTGTGATAGCGCTGAAAGTTGAAAATTGGCCTGGAGTGGAAGGGGGTGAAAGTGTTCAGACTTGAAGTGGTTAAAGCGTGACATGTTTGATATCTGTTTACTATTTGCACACCTTGAAAATATTTTAAATCCAAATGATTTATATGATGTGATTTTCATTGTCATGATAGCTAGGTTCACAATACACACCTTTTCCCCCTCTTTCATTTTTTTTTTAATCTCAGCACCTTCAGGAGGTCAGATTCTGCGTGTCCTATATGAAGAGAATGATGAATCTGAGGTGGGAAATAATTCATGTGACATCCCCAATGCTGGAGACTCGCAGGACAGATTCATTTAGGTACCCTAAAGCTGGTGAGCATCAACTCGTGTCTGAAGTAGGGAAATGGTCACTGTAGAGTTTGCAGAAATAGTTGTCTGGATTTTATAAAATGTCTCTTTTGTACTTTGACTCAATTTTCAGGGACTGCCAATCCAAAAGTGGCATTTAAGTTGTCGGAGATAACAGTGGATTCAGAAGGCAGGGTGAGTGCGTTACTTTTCTTATCTGAGTTTCATTTAACCCCCGCTTCCTTACATCATATAAATTATGTATGGTGGAAAGGATTCCGAGGCAGTGAGTGTTTAGAGATGACTGCCAACTGTAATGGCAGAGGAAGACCAAAGAGTTGATTTACAAGTATTGTAACTAAATCTGACCCTTATTGCAGAAAGGAGAATATACTCTTTAACAGGCAAAAACTGTCTTTATAATTGCTTGAAAGATTTCTCATTATTCTGGGATAAACCCTGCTGTGATTGGTTAGGGTGCAGGTAGGTGTGTCGGAGGCTCCAAACTAACTTTTTAAGCCCTGGTTCACATCTATGCGACCGTGCGGGCCGTGTTTTGCGCTGGCACGAGAGCCCATTCATTTGAATGGACCCCCGAGCCCTGTGGCACGCAGGGAAGAAGTCCCTGCACTTCTTCTGAAAACGCAGCCGAGGTTCCCAGTACGGTTGTGGTTTCCAGTGCGGGCGACGTAACAGAACTAATGGCACCCAATTTTATTTATTTATTTTTTTTTTTTTTCAAAACATTTATCGTTTCATCCCCTCCCCCCTACCTATACCACCACCCATCCCTCCCCATCCAATCCCTGAACCCTTCTCTGCATTTTCCTGTTCATTTGTTAATTTTCTGGAGATCGTAATCCCTATAAAAAAGAACAAAATATGTTTCCATATTATTCTATGTTAATCCCCCATAACCTCTAAAGCTAGCCTTGACTTTTTGAATGCCTCCTATTTGTTCCATCTTGTATTATTATTATTATTATTATTATTATTATTATTACATCAAGTTTATATAGCGCCAAAGGGTTTGCTCAGCGCTGTACAATAGGGGGAACAATACATGGCACAGTACAACAAAAACAGACAGCGTACGAGGGGTAAGAGGGCCCTACTCTTTCAAGCTTACAATCTAGGAGGGAGGGGGTAATGGTACAGTAGGAAGTGGCTGTGGGGAATGAAGTGGTGGGAGGAATGAGGGAGAATGGCAGTTAGGTGAGGGTGGGGTAGGCTTCCCTGAAGAGTTGGGTTTTGAGGGAGCGCCTGAATGTGGGGAGGGAAGGCGACAGTCGGATGGATTGGGGCAGTGAGTTCCAGAGGATGGGGGAGGACCTGGAGAAGTCCTGCACAGTCGTGCGTGGGAGGAGGAGACCAGGGAGCAGGATAGAAGGAGGTCCTGTGAGGAGCGAAGGGTACGGGTAGGGTGGTACTTGGGGATCAGGTTGGTGAGGTAGTTAGGGGCAGTGTTGTGAATGGCTTTGTAGGTCAGGATTAGAAGTTTAAATTTGATGCGTTGGGCAATCGGGAGCCAGTTGAGGGAGAGGCAGAGGGGGGTGGCAAAGGTGGAGCGGCTGGTGAGGTGGATGAGTCTGGCCACTGAGTTCAGGATGGTCTGGAGCGGGGAGAGCCTGCACTTGGGTAGGCCAATGAGAAGAGAGTTGCAGTAGTCAAGGCGTGAGATGATGAGGGAGTGTACTTGTATGGTGACTCTCCATCTTATCTTCATTCAAATCATAAAGTTCCTCCAATTTACATATTTGATCCACCCTGTCCACCCAGTCTTTTGTTTTCGGCACCTCCTGTTTCCTCCAATACTTGGGTGGGGGAGGGATGAAACGATAAATGTTTTGATAATATGCTGAGGTTTTAATGAGTATGTTTGTATAACTTGTTTATCTGAAAAATTTAAATAAAAAAAAAAAGAACTAATAGCACCCGCCCGCGGGTCTGCATTCCTCTGTGCGCGTGGATCCGCAGCGTCACCACCCGCACAGATGTGAACCTAGCCTAAAGGGACATCAAATGTGCAATTGGGTTTAATGTGAAATGTTTTACTGTCTCTAGTGTCAGTACTTTGTGTCACCCTTCTGGCACAAGCATACCACCGTCATTTTTAGGACCCTTGTATTTCTTTGAAACAAGGTTTTTTTTTTTTTTTTTTTTTTTTTTTTTAAGCTCAACTCCGGGCTGAAAAAAAAAGATCCCTTGCAGTAGGGCTGTGCTCACACTGCAAGGGTTAATAGCATGTTTTGTCCAAGGAAGAAGAGAAACACTTTTACTTACCTGATCCTTCACTCCTCCGACAGATGGGACTTCCCCACAATCTGGTTGTGGACTGTCCCTTGGTGTCTTAACATCCAGAGCGGGGCTATGGATCCTGCTTTTGTCTTGATGACGTTAAGACCCTAGACTGGTGGAGTGCAGTGGTTTAGAAGCTGCAGGAGCCAGTCTGGCTGTGGGGAGGAGCAGGGGATCAGGTAAGTATATGGCCCCTTTCACAAGGGGCAAACTCCATCTCGATCAGTGGGGAATCTATTTACAGGTCCCCTGCTGATCGGCATCTCCCTGCTGACTGGCTCCATGGGCATCTGACTGTAAACAGACTACTCTCTAATCCCATCTGCCTAAATGGAAGAGGATGGATCCCCTTCCATTTTTTTTTTTTTTTTTTTTTTAAATAAACTCGATTGGACCCTGAGGTAGGCAGGTGTAAATGAACACACGCTCATTTACACAAGCTTGTCCATGGGGGTGAATGGACAATCCAATCATTTCCTCCTGAAAAACTGACAGGCGGACATGATCAGACCCACCGTGTGAAAGGGGCAATCTCCTTTTATTGTTCCCCCCTAGAGTGGGGTAGGCAACCTGCGGCTCTCTAGCTGTTCTGGAACTACATTTCCCATGTGGCATTGCAAAGATTACAAAACTGACAGTTACAGCTATGACTTGCAGAGGCATGATGGAACTTGTAGTCCTGCGGCTCTCAGGTTGCCTCCCCCTGCCCTAGACATGAACAAGCAAATAACCCTTGCAGTGCAGGCACAGCCCCACTGCAAGCGGATAATTTTTTATTGGTATGTATTAGGTGTGGCGCTACAGAACACCTCCCTCATAAACCATTACTCTTGTGCCCTAATTTATTTGCCCAAAGTTGAGATTCTTCTTTTAGTGGTTACTGCGGTATCTGGGTTGTCATCCCGTGTGAGGACTGATATCATATGTATTATTATTATACAGGACATATATAGTGCCAACAGTTTGCTCAGCACTTTACAATATAAAGGGAGACAATACAGTTCAATACAAGAGGGTTAGGAGGGCCTGATCCTGGGAGCTTACAATTTAAGGCTGGCCATACACTTTGCAATTTTCTGTCCAATTGCTGCCCAGTTTCCTTTAGATTTACCTTCAACTATGTAGGACAAGAGCCTGCCTAATTGGATACAATTGAAAGTGTTAGGTTTGACCTCATATTATTTGGTTTTTGGTAAATCTAAACCAAAAATCTCAAGAAAATTGTATATTGTATGTCCAGCCTAAGAGTAGCGGAGAGTCTTCATCTGTCTGCATATACCTTAAGGGTTTATATTAGATCTTGGGTGAACTGTTCTGCAAACACCAACCTATGTTTATTTCTGTAGGTGTTGGATGTGGTAGACAAGGAACTCCGGCAGCCGTTTGAAGTGCTTTTTGCAGGGTGTGAATACATAGCTAGAGCTGGATGGACTCCTGATGGAAAGTAGTGAGTGGTCTTTCTTTTTTTTTTTTTTTTTTTTTTTTGAATAATCGCTTGTTGACCGGCCCATCCAGATATACTACAGGCCATCCACTCTCCTGCGCCAGGTCACATACATGTATTTCCGGGTCGGGGGTGCACGCACGTCCACTGTCCCAGCTGTGCTGTCATTCGCTACAGCATAAGCCGATCAGTGGGTCCCGGCCAATGATTAGTGCTCTTGTCTTAGTTTCTATCATAAAAAATAAAAATCCCAGTGGTGATCAAATACCACCAACAGAAAGCTCTATTTGTGGTGGAAAAAAATGCTATAAACTTTATTTGGGTACAATGTTGCATGACCGTGCAATTGTCAGTTAAAGTAGTGTCGAATAGCAAAAAATGTCCTGGTCATGAAGAGAGTAGAACCTTCGCAGCTGAAGTGGATACGTTAATTCCTGCACCATGCATATTTAACATTCAGTGCACTCAGCTCATTGTGCAGTGGGGTGAACCAGACATTACACAACAAAGTAACTTCAAATATGTCTGACTGGAATAATACTTCCACGGTGGGGGTAATGTCACATGTAGTACTCATGGAGTCTGGTGAACTGACCAGAACGCTGCAGTAAATCAGGGCTAGCCCTGAATTCCGAAACAAATCCACACTAAAGTGGATCATGCATCAAACAGACAAAATGGCAATCCCCACAGATAAATGCCAGTAATAGTGTCTGGTCATATATAAGCTGTGAGCCCTTGTAGATAGTCAACTTGGGGTTCCCCAGGGCGCGGAGTCTAAGCTCCAGCCTGCTTCTTCACCAGAGCCCCTGATGGTGGGGATGGACTTGCAGCAAGCTGGGACCAGGTCGTGGCCCCCGGGTACGCCCAGCTGAGGATGAGAAGACCACTTGCGGGAGCAGAGTACAATGGGAAGAGACAAAATGGAAATCCAATAGACTAGGCGAGGTCAGGACAGGCAGAAAACAAGCACAGTCAGAGAACAAAGCAGGGGTCGGTACACAAGTAGTCAATGCAGGATACAGGAGATAGCAACACACAGGAGCTCAGACAGCTAGGAAGTTGCTCAGGCAAAGTGGCCTAGACTGAGCATGTCTTATATAGACAAGCAAACAAGGAGGCGGGCCAGGAAGTGATGGAAAGGAAGGAAATAAAAGTGGGAGAACAGCAGATGACACCCATAGGTGAGCACAGAAAGACACACATGTGAAAGAGATCAGGAACAGCATTGCAGCAAGGAGGTAAGAACACAAACAAGAAACTGCAGGGCTGACTTTGGGAATCTCCATGTGTATAAATTCAAAAGCCTTCCATAATAAGTGCAATGTGTCCATACATAGAGACTAATCCATGAGCCATGGCATAAGTAGAACAAGCAAATACTTATCGATCCATAACATCCTCTATCAATCAAGATCGCCCAACAGGGGCCAACCAGATAACTGCCGCAGAAGGTGGTCTGATGGTTTTGCTGGTATGTCACCAGGTGCATCAGAGACTAAACTTACCTTGTAGACCTTCCCCTTTCCTATGGGTTAGAGTCAGCCTTTGAACTGCAAGCCAGGGGTTAAATCGTCATTTGCCATGTGGCAACTTAAAGCGGAGACAGAAGACTATGGGGAGGACAACTTCCACTTCTGTTGACCTAGGCGATCGCAGTGGAAGTTGGAGCGGGTACCTGTCAAATTCGGGTACCCGCTCCCCACGGGTGCCAATCCTTAATGGGGAGTGGGGAACAAAGGCTTAAAGCGGAACTTCCCCTTTTGGGTGGAGCTCTGCTTTAATAAAAAGCCACGTTTTAGGTTAATCAATTCCAGTCCGGACACTGTCAACCCCTTCCAGTCCAGGCCAATTTTCAGCTTTCAGCGCTATCACACTTTGAATGACAATGCGGTCATGCAACACTTTACCCATATTAATTTTTTAGCATTTGTTTGAGACAGATAAAGCTTTATTTTGGTGGTATTTATTCACTACTGGGATTTTATTTTTTTTGCTATGTGAATGAAAAAGTCCAAAAACTAACTAGCCATTGGATTGCTTTTGCAAGCAGCGGGTTGGGACATCTCCCCTTCCGTGGGCTGTCTCATCGCACGAGGACACCTGAACAACCTTCTGGCGCTTCCGCCGGCTGATCATAAAAGCAAACAAAGACTGGAACCGCTCTGTTCGCCTCTATGATATAGAAAACAGGAAGCCATGAGCGTACATAACTTATGGTTTCTCCTATGTAAATGGCGCCATTTTAAAAATGGAATGATTTTGATTACACCGATTTAAGGGCAGAGGAGGGATATGGGGTCTTATTGACACCAGATCGCGTGATAAAGCACACCTGTCACTGCCTATTGCTGTCACAAGGGATGTTTACATTCTTTGTGACGGCAATAAAAGTGATCAAGAAAGAAAAAAAAAATGAAGCGACAGAGTTAAAATAAAAAGTTTTTAATAATTTTTTTTAAAGCACCCCCTTCCCCGCTCACAAAGGCAAACACGCTTCGGTCCTGCACACACAAACGCAATCTGCCCACACATGATGCATCACTGAGAACGTCAGATCATGGGCAGTAATTCCAGTACCACACCTTCTCTGTAAAGGCTGTGAAAAAGTCACGTATGGATAGTAAAAATTTTAGTTTAGTATTGTGGTTTTTTTTTTGCATTAAAATTCAAAAGAGTGCATTTTTAAAAAAAAAGTCTGTTTGAAAAACACTGTGCAAACACTGCATTACATAGAAAAAAATTGCAAAACGCATCAATTTATTCTCTAGGGCCTCTGCTTTAACCTCTTCACGCTGGCCAAACGCAAATGTGCGGCCTCCCAGCATCTGAGCCAAGACGCAGAGCGGCCGCACATTTGCATTCTATTAAAAAAGAAGATATGTGCTGGAAGCGCGCACCCTGCGCGCTCCCAGCACACATGTCCGGTACTCACGGAAAGGTCCCGATCTCCTCTTTCGATCGGGACCTTTCACGATCATGTGACCGGCGGGTCACGGCGGTCACATGACCCTAAACCCGCGACCGACCGCCTCCCGGCTTCTGAAACCCTTAAAGGGCCAGGAGGCGCTGGCGCGAAGGGGTTAAAAAAAAATATATGTTTGGGGGTTCTAAGAAATTTTCTATCAGTTTAAGTTGCCGCAAAGCCCCTTTCGTTTTTAAAAGCACCTCTGCCTAATAAAAACATCAACCCTTCCATCCTGGCAATTTTTTTTTTTTAATCAGGACAAGTAGATTGTAATGAGGGACAAGTAGATTGGACCCCCAGTTTAGTCCCTTGAACAAGTAGTTTTTAAAAAAAATTTCACACCCTTGATGGAAGGCAACTTACTGTTACGTCGCTGCCTGTTTCCTGGTTTCAGACGGGCGGGGTGCGCGCACCTGAAACCCAGGAACAGGCGGCGACGTAACAGTACATTGCTTTGCCTGCATAGGCCGCCAGTCGCAGCACACAGTGGGAGTCTGTCAGCAGGTCCCTGGCCAGAACTTGCTAAGTGGCTGTATCCAGTCACAGCCCAGAGCCCTGTGTTGACAATCAACACAGAGCTCTGTACAGAGGGAACGATTTGTCTGTTTCTCATTTTTGCAAAGCAAGGATGAGAAACAAAGAGATCAATTAGTAAAATCAGCACATAATATACACGTTACACATTGTTAGGCACACCTTTAACCCCTTGATCGCCCTTGTGTTTAACCCCTTCCCAGCCAGTGTCATTAGTACAGTGAAAGTGTATACCACAGATCACTCTATTAGTGTCACTGGAGATGTTAGTTCCCGTCAGTGTCAGTTAGTGTCAGAATGCCAGCTGCACTGTCGCAGTCCCAATCACCTGATCACCGCTTTTAGTATCAATAAATAACGAATTCCATTATATATCCTATACTTTTTAGACACTATAACTTTCACACAAACCAATCAATATACACTTATTGTTTTTCTTTTTTTTTTTCTTTTTTCTTACCAAAGACATGTAGCAGAATACATTTTGGCCAAAATTTATGAAGAAATTTGATTTTTTTTATTATTATGTTTTAAAGCAGAAAGTAAAAATATAAAGTTGTGTTTTTTTTTTTTTTTTCCTATTTTCACTTACATCGGAAGAAAATCAAAAACCCAGTGGTGATCAAATACTACCATATGAAAGCTCTATTTGTGTGAAAAAAAAATTATATAAATTTTATTTGGGTACAGCATTACATGACCGCGCAATTACCTGTTAAAGTAGCGCAGTGCTAAATAGGAAAAACTGGCCTGGTCATGAAGGGGTGAAACCTTTCAGAGGTCAAGTGGATAAACCAGATCCCAATATCCGCATACGATGCCACATCCCATATTTTTTTGACAAAACTCATTAGGACTAAAATATTCCACATGCAATACTCGGGACTTTACAGGCTTTGTATTAGAGTCAAAAACACACTATGTGAATAAAATCTATAATTTTATTAGAGTATTGATCAATAAAAAATGTCTACATAATCATCACCATTGGCGATATATACAATAGACCATAAAAACACAAAGGGTTATGTGAAGACTTAAAGCGGAGCTCCACCCAAACGGGTAAGTTCCGCTTTAAGGACTGCTCCCCTGTTCCTCATTAAGGATTGGCACCTTTTGGGGGGCGGGGGGGAAAGCGGGTACCCGAATTTGACAGGTACCCATTCCCACTTCCGGTCCGACCGCCTAGGCCAGGGGTAGGCAACCTGTGGTTCTCTAGCTGTTGTGGAACTACATTTCCCATGAGGCATTGCAAAGATTACAAAATTGACAGTTACAGCTATGACTTGCAGAGGAATGATGGAACTTGTAGTCCTGCAGCTCTCAGGTTGCCTACCCTTGGCCTAGGCCAGTGGTCGGCAAGCCGCGGCTCGCGAGCCACATGCGGCTCTTTACACACTTTAATGCGGCTCTTCTGTGTGACCCATGGGCGCCCGCTCCCCTCCCTCCCCCTCCTCTCGGGCGGCCCGCCCCAAAAGTCAGGACTCTGCAGCTAGCCCAGCAATGGGCAATCTATGGCCCCGCGGGCCGTATACGGCCCCGGCGGACCTTTTAATCCAGCCCGCGGAGCGTGGCAAACATTGGCTGTCAGGATGTAGGCGGGGCAGCGTGACGAACTCCTCTCCTCTCACAGTCCGCCCTGAAAACGGGAACACGGCGAGAGGAACGCGCGGAGCAAAGGTAAGTGAATTGAGACAATATGGGGAATGAATTACTATAGGGGGGATGAATTACTATATGGGGGATGAATTACTATATGGGGGATGAATTACTATATGGGGGATGAATTACTATATGGGGGACTGAATTACTATATGGGGGATGAATTACTATATGGGGGATGAATTACTATGGGGGATGAATTACTATATGGGGGATGAATTACTATATGGGGGGATGAATTACTATATGGGGGATGTATTTTCAGTTTTAAAAATGTGGCTCTCAAAATAAATTTCAATCGTGGTTTTGGCGAGTTTTGGCTCAGTTGAAAAAAAAAGGTTGCCCACCACTGGCCTAGGCGATCGGAAGCAGAAGGTGTTCTCCCTTCCACCTCCCCGTAGTCTTTTGGGACACGTGACAGGTCCCAGAAGACTACAGGACCATTCATGAAGCGCAGCGCTACTTGCGCACACAATAAAGCATCGATACCAAAACCTACCCACCCAACAATAGCATATCACATTGCATTTGAACAGTGGGTACCCGGCTGTGAAGCCTCAAGCTGCACAGCCGGGTGCCCACACTGAAGATGCCGGCCTCCTGGAATACAGGACGGCCAGTGAAACGGGCTGCGGGGGACACACCGAGGGACAGGCAAGTGGCTGTTTTTTTAAAAGTCAGCAGCTACAGTTTTTGTAGCTTTTATTTTTTGACAGGGTGAGTGGAACTCCGCTTCAACGTTGGATGCTTGTGTAGTCCTGTATGGGTGTGGTCCAGCATGTTTCACAGTAACACACTGCTTCCCCAGGGACTTCACAGGAGCATCTACATAGATAGAAATGATCATACTACATAATAATCACATCAAACACAGTATATGTAACCTAATCATTTAATTAATTGAGTGTACAGCCTACCACACCAGATTCATATGATGGACATGCACATACCCCCATATCCCCAGACCAGCTTCCACCCGAAGCATTGTATGAGCCTAATCCCCTGCCACAAATTCAGCAGAAGGGGGATGGCATCAGAGGCACTGGACCACATAGGAAGGTGACGGAGGCCGTACCCAACAAACTACCTCCACCAAGAGAAAGATGTAGTGACTGTATGTTGATATCCACCTAAAAATTAAATAAATGACCAAACCACAATAAGCATCGATACCAAAACCTACCCACCCAACAAAGCTATCACATTCATTAACCAGCTGCCATCAGTGCGCGCTATAGCCGAAAGAAGCTACAGCGGGGTTGTCTAGTTCTGGGAAGGCGTCTATAGACATCTTCCCAGAAACCACAACCCCCCCCCCGAGCGCCCACGGGGCGTGCTCTGTGATAGCTGTGTCCTTTGGAGACCGCTGATTACAGATCATGATGAAGAGCCAATCACAGCAGTCCTTTACCATGTCATCTGCTGTGTCCAATCACAGCTGATCAAATGTAAAAAATTGACAGTTATCAGCATTTCCTTTCCTCACCACTGTCACTGTGTGAGGAAAGGAGGGCCTATAATCAGTGATCCTGTGACAGCACACATTTACACTGATAGTCAGGGCTCTGATCGTCAGTACCCAGATAATCAGTGCAACCCCATCAGAGCAGCCTCATGCCCCATCAGTGCCCCATCAGAGCAGCCTGATCAGTGCCCCATCAGAGCAGCCTGATCAGTGCCCCATCAGAGCAGCCTGATCAGTGCCCCATCAGAGCAGCCTGATCAGTGCCCCATCATGAGCAGCCTCATCAGTGCCCCATCAGAGCAGCTCCCCATCAGTGCCCTCATGAGCTCCCCATCAGTGCAGCCTGATCATGTGCTGCCCCATCAGAGCAGCCTCATGAGCTCCCCATCAGTGCAGCCTCATGAGATCAGTGCAGCCTCATCAGTGCCCCATCAGTGCAGCCTCATGAGCTCCCCATCAGTGCAGCCTCATGAGCTCCCCATCAGTGCAGCCTCATGAGCTCCCCATCAGTGCAGCCTCATGAGCTCCCCATCAGTGCAGCCTCATGAGCTCCCCATCAGTGCAGCCTCATGAGCTCCCCATCAGTGCAGCCTCATGAGCTCCCCATCAGTGCAGCTGAAGAATATATTTAATATATATATTTAAAAAAATATATATATATTTTTTTAAATATATTCTTCAGATTTTTTTTAACATATAAAAAAGTAATTTTAACATATATTTTTACAAAATATTTGTAAAGGCATTCCAAACATGTAGATTTGTATTTTTAAAGACATACAGTATATTTGAAATGTATGTTTAAAAATATTTTTCATATATTTTGTAATAAAAAACATTTCAACATGCAGTGTGTCAACATGTGTGTGTGTGTGTGTGTGTGTATATATATATATATATATATATATATATATTATGTTTATTGAAATATATTGAATATGGCCTAAATTGTAGCATTTCAAATATATGGCAATATATTTGGGAAGAATATTTTTAAAATATATTTCAAATATATTTTTCTTCCATGTCGGCACTGAGGCTAAGTCACCATTCTGGAACACATATATCAAAAAAGGCTTTATCTGTATACTTGTGGGTCAGTAACTGAAATATTAAAACAAAGGGTCAGCACAGCAGCCAGGCAACTAGCATTTTCACAGTAAGAGATCTGCAGTTGCATCTTGTATGCCTGTCGCTTGCAGGGTTTGTATCAAGTGTATTTGTGGATGTGCAACACACAGACTTTTACATGTATCTCCTAACTTTTTTCTTGTCTACATGTGCAGTGCCTGGGCTGTCCTGCTAGATCGTCCACAGACACGTCTGCAGATCGTCCTCATCCCACCCTCCTTGTTCGTGGCACCTTTTAAAGACCTTTCAGAGCACCATCGGCTGTCAGAATCCACATCGGACTCCTTAGCACCGCTTGTGATATACGAGGAGACAACGGATATATGGATAAATGTATGTAACCGTAGATTCCCTTAAGGGGTCATGGCTTATAGATGTCAGTTTGTATTTTTGATTGATCGTTAGCTGCTCATCTACTGCACTTCACATACTGAGGTGTGCTACAGTACCAGGGGTGGACTGACAACTCATGGGGCCCCTGGGCAATAGAGGATCATGGGGCCCCTGTGTCCTTGCCCAAACTCAAAAAAGCCTATGAAAAAGGTACCAGGGGCATCTCATGGGGCTCTCTACTGACCCCGGGCCCTCGGGCAGTGCCCGAGTTTCCAAATGGTCAATCCACCCCTGTACAGTACCCATAGGCATTAATATGGACCTCTCACAAACCAAATGGATCAAGGCGACCTACCACCAACTGTTTCTGTTGACACTATGCTAAGACCTGTTGGTGATAGGTTGCCGACATCTAACCACTTCAGCCCTGCTGGGTACGTTGCTGGGGTTTGCTCCGTTCTACCTGGATGATGTCTGCAGCTGCAGGCGTCATCCCGGTGTTGTTTTTTAGAGCCAGCAGTTGGCTTTCATGCATCATCGATCTCTGTGACTAACAAGCCGCTCATTCGTTAATACCTTTAGATTGTAAGCTTCCAGGATCAGGGCCCTCCTAACCCTCTTGTATTGAACTGTATTGTTGCTGTATTGTCTCCCGTTATATTGTAAAGCGCTGCGCAAACTGTTGGCGCCATAAATCCTGTATAATAATAATAATATTACATGCATTGGGTCTCCACTATGGTAACCCGGAAGGGTTAACATGACATCACTTCCAGGTTACCCAGATGTAAACAGCACCATTTAATGAAAAAAAAAAAAAAAAAGCAATCTTGAGGTTTATGAATGTTTTTAAGTGCAGAGGAGGGATTTGGGGTCTTTTTGACCCTAGATCCCTCACAAAGAGTACCTGTCTTGTGCCTATTGCTGTCACAAGGGATGTTTACATTTCTTCCCATATGGAAGAAAAATCTTATTTGAAATCTAAAAAATTTTAAAATTAATATTCCTCCCAAATATATTGCCATATATTTGAAATGCTACAATTTTGGCCATAATTTTCAATATATTTCAATATATATATTTTTAAAAATATATATTTTTTAAATATATTGTTCAGATTTTTTTTAACATATAAAAAAGTCATTTTAACATATATTTTTACATATATTTGTAAATGCATTCCAAAAATGGAGATTTGTATTTTTAAAGACATACAGTATATTTGAAATGTATTTTTAAAAATATTTTTCATGTATTTTGTAATAACACATTTCAACATGCAGTGTATATATATGTGTGTGTATATATGTATATATATATATATATATATATATATATATATATATATATATATATATATATATATATATACACACACACACACACACTGCATGTTGAAATGTGTTATTACAAAATACATGAAAAATATATTTTTTAAAAATACATTTCAAATATACTGTATGTCTTTAAAAATACAAATCTCCATTTTTGGAATGCATTTACAAATATATGTAAAAATATATGTTAAAATGACTTTTTTATATCTTAAAAAAAATCTGAAGAATATATTTAAAAATATATATTTTTAAAATATATATTGAAATATATTGAATATGGGCAAAATTTTTGCATCTCAAATATATGGCAATATATTTGGGAAGAATATTTTTAAAATATATTTCAAATATACTTTTCTTCCATGTGGGTTGTGACATCAATAAAATTGATAAAAATAAATAAATTAAAGCAACAGTGTAAAAATAAAACACATATTAATTAATAATTAAAAACATTTTTTAAAAAGTGTCCTGTCCCCCTGTGCTTGTGCACAAAGGTAAACGCACGGGTCAGTCCCACACGAGTGCAAACAGCGATCGGTTCACACATGTGAGGTATCACCGCAATCGTTAGATCACGGACAGTAATTCCAGCACTAGACCTACTCTATAACTCTAAAGTGGTAACCTGTAAAGGCTTTTAAAGCATCACCTATGGATAGTAAAATTTACGCCATATGACACCATTGCATGGGCGTATGCAATTTTAAAGCATAGCATGTTTGGAATTTATTTACTCAGCGTAACATCAGTTTTTATACTAAAAAAAAAATGTGTTTTATATGGTGTTTTTTTGCATTAACATCCAAAAAAAAGTGTATTTTTTGCTTTTAAAAAACTGCTGTGCAAATACTGTATGACAAAAAATTGCAGCAATCGCTCTTTTATTCTCTAGGGCAGTGATGGCGAACCTTTTTGAGCCCGAGTGCCCAAACTGCAACCCAAAACCAACTTATTTCTTTCAAAGTGCCAACACTGCAATGAAACCTGAATATCGAGCTTTTGGTTTAGAAAAAACAACTCGTACAGTAGTGCAAACTAATTAACAGTACAGGGATGACCAGAGACTACAGACACAGTACAGAGATGACCAGAGACTGCGGACACAGTACAGGGATGACCAGAGACTGCGGACACAGTACAGGGGATGACCAGAGACTGCGGACACAGTACAGGGATGACCAGAGACTGTGGACACAGTACAGGAGATGACCAGAGACTGCGGACACCGTACAGGAGATGACCAGAGACTGCGGACACAGTACAGGGATGACCAGAGACTGCGGACACAGTACAGGGATGACCAGAGACTGCAGACACAGTACAGAGATGACCAGAGACTGCGGACACAGTACAGGGATGACCAGAGACTGCGGACACAGTACAGGGATGACCAGAGACTGCGGACACAGTACAGGGATGACCAGAGACTACGGACAGTACAGGGATGACCAGAGACTGCGGACAGTACAGGGATGACCAGAGACTGCGGACACAGTACAGGGATGACCAGAGACTACGGACAGTACAGGGATGACCAGAGACTGCGGACACAGTACAGTGATGACCAGAGACTGCGGACAGTACAGGGATGACCAGAGACTGCGGACAGTACAGGGATGACCAGAGACTGCGGACACAGTACAGGGTATGACCAGAGACTGCGGACAGTACAGGGATGACCGGAGACTGCGGACAGTACAGGGATGACCAGAGACTGCGGACACAGTACAGGAGATGACCAGAGACGGCGGACACAGTACAGGGATGACCAGAGACTGCGGACAGCACAGGGATGACCAGAGACTGCGGACACAGTACAGGGATGACCAGAGACTACGGACAGTACAGGGATGACCAGAGACTGCGGACACAGTACAGGGTATGACCAGAGACTGCGGACAGTACAGGGATGACCGGAGACTGCGGACACAGTACAGGAGATGATCAGAGACTGCGGACACAGTACAGGGATGACCAGAGACTGCGGACACAGTACAGGGATGACCAGAGACTGCGGACACAGTACAGGGATGACCAGAGACTGCAAACACAGTACAGGGATGACCAGAGACTGCGGACACAGTACAGGGATGACCAGAGACTGCGGACACAGTACAGGGATGACCAGAGGCTGCGGACACAGTACAGGGATGACCAGAGACTGCGGAACAGTACAGGGATGACCAGAGACTGCGGACACAGTACAGGAGATGACCAGAGACTGCGGACACAGTACAGGGATGACCAGAGACTGCGGACACAGTACAGGGTATGACCAGAGACTGCAAACACAGTACAGGGATGACCAGAGACTGCGGACACAGTACAGGGATGACCAGAGACTGCGGAAAGCACAGGATGACCAGAGACTGCGGGACAGTACAGGAGATGACCAGAGACTGCGGAAAGCACAGGGATGACCAGAGACTGCGGACAGTACAGATGACTACTGACCTTTGGGGAGGGAGGGGGAGCGGGTACCTGAATTTGACAGGTACCCGCTCTTACTTCCGCAGAGTTTTTTTTCTTATCTTACCTGTTCCTTTATCCAGCCGCGCGCTGTCTTCCCGGCTTCTGTAGTGTGGGCGCTCGTCGGACAGCCGGATGCCCAGTGCGCATGCGCGAGAAGCGCTGCGCTTTGTGATTGGTCCGGCGGCTCCTGGGATCTGTCATGTGTCCCAGGTACCGCCTTACCATTCACAAAGAGCACTGCTTCTTGCGCATGCGCACTTGGGACCCGGCTGTCACGCACACTACAGAAGCCGGGAAGGCAGCGCGCCGCTGGATAGAGGGACAGGTAAGGTCCCACTGCAGAGCTGAGCGGCCGGCCCGGTATTCTGACACGGCGGCGGTGGAAATACCGGACCGGCCGCTCTATATTCGCTCCATAAGACGCACTGACATTTTCCCCCCTTTTTTGGGGGAAAAAAAGTGCGTCTTATGGAGCGAAAAATACGGTATTCTCCTGGCGTGCCCACAGATAAGGCTCGGCGTGCCGGCTGTGGCACGCGTGCCACGGGTTCGCCATCACTGCTCTAGGGTCTCTGCTAAAAATATATATATATAGAAATAATAATGGATCTAAGTAATTTTCTAGCAAAAAAAAAAATGATTTACACTTGTAAACAAAAAAGTGCCAGAAACGGCTTGGCGCTGAAGTGGCTAATGTATTTTTTTTATTTTTTTTTAAAACTGTTGAAATAATAAAAAATGACAAATGATAGTCTAGTTCATTCTCCGTGTGTTTTCCTTCTGCTCTTTGAACTATTCCTACTCTACAGTTGTGGTCAGACTGAACATTTCCATTTTCAACGTGGTGGTTGCTAAACTCATGTTTTTTCTCATCCTTTGTTCTGTCCGCAGATCCATGACATCTTGTACTTTTTTCCACAAACCCGGGAAGATGAAATCCAATTCCTCTTTGCCTCTGAGTGCAAGACAGGATTTCGGCACCTTTATCGGATCACCAGCCTGTTGAGAGCAGCCGGTACTGGTAGGGCAGGAGCTGATCTGTTAGGGCTCAGTGAGTTCACCTGTAATATTTTGTGTCTCTTAAAGGTTTACAGTACACATCCGTATATTACTAAAGACTTCTAATGCATACTTTGCCTGGGAAGAGTTTGTGCAGAGAGAATCTTAAGCAGCTGACAACCAATGAGCATCTATCTTCAGCTTCTTCAGTTTAGCTTTGAAAATGAAAGCTTCGAGCTAATTGGTTGCCATGCTGCTCCATATTCCTTCTGCTCCAATCTTAATAATCTTCTCCTCTCTGCTTCTAGTATGTAGTAGCTAGTGGTGCACCGAAATGAAAATTCTGGTGCCCAAAATGAAAATTGAAAATGCACTTGGTCGAAAACCGAAATGCGCAGTTTTTAAAAATGAATATATATTTTTTGGAAAAAAATACACATTAAAAAAACAAAACAGAAAAAAAAATAGATACCCCCAATTTTTTTGTAAAATATGAAAGAGGATGTTACGGCGAGTAAATAGATGCCCAACGTGCCACGATTTAAAAATACGGAAGCTCGTGGAATGGCGTGAAACTGCGGTACTTTAAAAATCTCCATGGGCGATGCTTTAAAAAGTTCTACAGGTTAGCAGTGTAAAGTTACAGAGAAGGTCTAGTGCGAGAATTATTGCTCTTGTTCCGACGTTCGTGGCGATAGCTCACGTGTATGGTTTGAACACCGTTTACATAGGTGGGCATGGCCTACGTACGCGTTCACCACGGGAAGGGGAGAGGGGGGGGCGCACTCTAAGCGTTTTTTTTTTTAAATATATATTTATTTATTTATTTTGCACTGTCCCTTTAAAATACATTTTAAATCACTTTTATTTTTATCACAAGAATGGCATGCATCCCTTGAGATAGAAATAATTAGTGACAGGTCCTCTTTATGGAGAGATATGGGGTCACTAAGACCCCACATCTCTCCTCTACAATGTAAAGCATTAGATAAAAAAAAAAAAAGCATTGATCTAGTGTTTTAAAAAAAAAAAAAAAAATGGCCGGAATGGGAAGTGACAACGCTCCGGTCCTCCAAGGGCATAGAGATGAGTGGCGGCCATCACCTCCCTCAGAGAGTAAAGGCAAAGTGGTCCTCCAACAAGGGGAACAGTC